CCTAGAGATGCCGGCACACCTTGCCAGGCAGCCCCTGTGCCCAGCACTGACTCTCCCTGCTCGCAGCCCGATTTTTGCCGCTAGCAAAGCTTTTCTACATTTTAAGAAACCTTTCACAAAGATTTGAACAAACTCTAACTTAAAGCAGATTCCCACCTTCCTCTCAGATGCCGCTTTCTCACTAGAAAGAAGCTTTCTCTGCTCCCTGTGCTACAAAACTTGAACCACCTTAGATCCTCCCGAGAGGGGTAAGATCAGGTTCCTGTCCTGAGCTCATGCTATCACCAGTGCCAGTCCCATCCCTCCCCAGCCCAGCAGCTCATCAGAGCACACCCCTTGTCAACAAACCAGGTTTGGGTACTCAAGTACCATTCAACTGCTGCGATCAGGTCTCCAACGGCTCATCTCTACCCCAAGCAACTGCCAAGGGTTTGCTCCAGCCAGCGCTGCTCCTGGGAGTTAACCAAGCCACTCCGACAGTAAAGTAAAAATTAAAAATTGTCATTTGCCTGGGCAAAAATCAGACATTTGGACACAATACTGAAAGTACGCCCTTAAATTCTCCTTTTACAGGGACAGCGCCTATTAACATCACACATTCAGGAGAGAAAACCAGAAATTACAAGTAGATCCAAGCTTTGCACCTACTCTATATATCGCAACTTGTTCTGCTGTTAACTTGCTACCTCCTGAGTTGTAGTTGGGTGCAACACAGCTGAAAGCGAACAGTAGGTGCTTAATGCAGCTTTTTTCTATGAATGCAGAGGAGGTGACCCCAAAACCCTGTTGATTTACACATGGTTTGTGCAGTATCTTCAGTAGCTTGCATGTGACAAAGGCTTCTGCCGTATGATGCCACAGTTTCTGTGAATGCCACGGCGCAGGGGTTGGAACTACACGATCTTTGAGGTCCCTTCTAGCCCAAATCATTCTATGATTCTAATCCAGGTAGTGACCAAGTATATTCCTCCTGACCTCACCTTCATCACAGGCCGAACAAGAGTCCTCCACCTCACGAGGATGTTGAGGCAGCACTAGCAGGTAGAAAGTTTCAAGATGCTGGAATGAAAGGCAACAAAGGCTCTAAAATGTTATTATAACTTTCTTACTATGATGGGACATGTGCCCCAAGAAAAGGAGTCATAAAGAAAAAACAAGGGAAGCGCCTTTTTGATGATCGTTTTACTGTAACTGCTCATCACCGGATCTCTAATTCCAGTTTGAAAGCAGCTAAGTAAGAAATAATTTGAAAAATATAAATTAAGAAGAAAATACACTTGGGGGTGGGAAACTGGTCTCTGTCACAGTAGGTTAACAGGCTTTCCCGTGGTGTGTGTCAAAGAGTGTTGAGCTGACGCAGTTCAATGAGCACCGAGACTCAGTGAGGACCCCACCAGGTTCAGTCCCACGGGCAGCTGGATCCCAGGGCAGCATCATCTGCCTCTAACATCAGATCCTTCCATTTCATTTTAAAACTGCAACAAAGGAAATGCCTTTTTTCCCATGCTCCAGGTTTTCCAAGTAGAGGAGTTGCTTCTATGCACACATGAAGAGAAACCCTAGCAAAGAGAGTGAATTATTATTACACTCGGCTGAAGAAAAACCCAGACTCACTCCTAGACCCTATACCAAGTCGGTACACTTTTTTCTACCTGTTTAAAACTCCTTCTCTTCTAATTCCAAGGCAGAATTTTATTTTCTTTTCCCAATACTTAAATTGCAGGCGTGGGATAGGATAATGTAACGCCACTACATTAAGAACACTTTCACCTTTAGCTTTTCTTCTGCTTTTATTATATAAATTATGCTTTCAAACATTCAGAGCACTCACATTTCAAAACAGAGAATGTTTAGTTCCACGCTGCGATACTAGTGCAAAGGGTGGTTTATCTAAGTGCAAATAAGTTACATGTCCCCACTGCCAGCCAGTGGATTCGGCTGTTTTTAATGTAACTCTTAAGCGTGTAACTAACAATTACGTTACCTACCCTACATCTGATGTGGTCAACAGGAATATTGGTAAAAACCAACAGTACAAACACGAGGACAGTTTCGCTTCGAGCTGACCTGTGAATTCACTGGGATTGGAGACCACCACCATCATTTTCCTCACCCGACTTCAGTCAGAAAGCAGGTAGATGCCAAATGTTCTCTCTCAAGCTCTATTCCAATTATTAAAATACAATAAAGCTCACACACATGCAGGTACTGTATTCCAGTGAATGCCACAGGACATCTTTGGCACATCGTAGGCAGTACCTGAACACTGAATACAGAAATATTAATGAAATAATCTTGACCTGGCAAGAGGGTAAATGAAAAAGCCCCAAAATTCTTTCTGTCTCCAATGCCAATAATTGTTGCTGAAAAATTTATTGAACCAAGACTGAAATACAGCAATGTCTCTCAGCTAGATAATACGTACCAAAACCCGAGTTTGATTAAATCCAAGCAAAATAAATCTTACTCATCCTGTCGATGGCAGTGTATGGGGTCACCGCAGTGAAACGCAGGCCATTTGGTCAGAAGTATTTATAGATATCTTAGATATCTGCGTTCATTTCTCTTAAAGAACTGCTTGGATGCAAAAACAGAGAATGAGACACTTTATAAATAACATCTTTATTAATGAGTTTTCTTTTTCACATTCTTTAAAGTGATGTTTAATTGAAATCTGCATAGTTAAGACTGCAAAAAGAAAAAAAAAAAGAAAAAAATAATCCTAGAGGTCAGGCCCCAGTGTGAATGTTACTTTTTTTTAAAGTCAGACTGGTCACAGCCACAGGAACAAGCAGAAAAAATAATCCTAGAAGTCAGGCCCCAGTGTGAATGTTACTTTTGTTTTAAGTCAGACTGGTCACAGCCACAGGAACAAGCAACCTCCAGGAAAAAATGACCAGGAAGATACTGAGGGGGTGAGAAGGAAAACCACCAGAAAACCTCTCGTAAGAATATTTGTCTGTTAATGAAGTCTTCACACAAAGACACACAACAGCCACCCACGTTCATGTGCACAACAGAACGCAAACTACAGGAGAGAGGCTTCCTCTGCTGAATGAAATGAACCAGGGCGAGATGATTTGGGTGTTTTGCCGAGTGTTGACCAGCTACTCCCACCACGGGAACCACTACAAGGCCCAGGCGGATCAACACAAGGTCCAGATTTCTTCATGCCCTTATTACAACCACATTGAAACTACCACCCTACAGCAGGAAACGCAAAACCGTACTTTCTGTAACATGAAGAATTACTCTTAACACACACTTTTAAAGCAGTATCATGCCTCCCTCCGTTTTTAATACTTAATACTACCATCCCTTACTGCTAATTGTCATTCCCAGAGCAGGGAAAGGGGACCTCTCGGTGCCATGGAAGGGCTCAGCTCGTGGAAGCTCTCGGCAGCGGGACGCCTCCACCTCCAGCTTCATTCCCATCCAGCACAGGCAACAGTCCCAAGTCTCCCACATCAACACCACAACGTGACTCTGCAAGTAGTACGGTTTTTTTTAATATTTACACTCTCCACTGATTTAGCTGTTAAAACCATCATCAGGAAACTCTAGAGAAGAAAAAAAATATATATAAAATAAAGCATGCCCCCTACGTAACAGCCATACGCTGGTAAGAGGTCATTTCTTACCTCCAGTTTTGATTTATCCAACAGAGACACTACTCTACAGCTGAGCACTAGTTTAAGTGCAGACTTCTCTTACAGCTGGTCGTTTGGAAAAAGCTGTTGGCTGCTGTCACTCTGAACTTCACCGTGCACAAACTGGGCTTAACACTTTGCACGTGCCTGTGCCGTAATAAACTTCAGTCACCATTTACATTAGTTCCGTTCTGAATTATTCATCTTATTCAGATGCACAATCTAGGACTGCGGGGAACTGATCATCAATATTCAGTCACACGAGTTCGAATCTGGGCAAGTAATAAGTCTCGTTTATTTGCTGTGAGCCTCTAGGCTTTAAATCTGAGATTCAAGCCCAGCAGGGCAACAAAGTTATTTATGAAATGAAAGCAGTCAAATACATTTGCTGCCACAGGTATTGGAAACATAAGGGCTAAAGAAGACCCAAGACAGTGAGTGAAAGGGATTCAGTAATAAAAGGGGGGAAAAAAAAAAATGAAACTACCCAGTGAAACTCAAACCCATCACAACGAAACAGTGACTCCAGAGCTGAAACTCTACCTTCAAGCCACAGATGAAAACATCTCCAGCACCCAGAAGCACCAACCATCAGCCAGCATCAACAAGGTGCTGAAAGACACACGTGCTTCAAGACCCTTTCTTCAAAAAATGCTCTGCTTTCTCCTCGGGGAACTAACGTGCTCAAAGGTGGAGAAAACCAGTCAGAAATCTGGGAACACGGCCTGCAGAAAACCATATACCACCCCAGAAATAAGCCACCCGCTGCCACACTGGCTGGGCTTCAGAGCAAAAGCACAGAAAACATTCCAGCCCCTCCCAGTTTGAAACCCCAAAAGTAGGACTGGCTGACTGGGAAGGGGCTGATCCATTTTCACAAGCAGTAAGAGCAACGGTTCTTTTTTTTCCATGGGGATTTCAAAGGTGAGTCTTATGTCCAACCCCAAATCTAATTAAATTAGGAACTGAACATCTAGTGCAGTGGTATCCTTAATTTCTTTGGGGAACGAAAACATAAAATAAATATTTCTTGTGTCACTTTTGGGTTTAATTCAAGAGACCTGTAGAGTAAGATCACTTCTGACATCAGTTCCAGATTAGATTGGCACAGCTGATTTACATTATTTGTACTTTTTAAAGGTGGTGGATCTAAAGGCATCGGATTAGATTTTTTCTTTTACTAATGCAAAATCCTAAAATAAATGCAACTTGGTAATCTGAGAAAATACCTTACTCTAACATACAAGGAAACTACTTTGCGGCCTTCTGTGTTTCACAAAAATATCCCACATGTTCAGACCATGAGGGCAGCCTCACTAGGTAAGACACACTAAAACGAAACATTTTCCATTAAAGTTGCCAAAAACTGAATTTAAATTTATTGCATGACGTTGCATAAGAAAGTATATTATTGAAAACCGTAAGGCATCATGCAATTATCCATCAGCTAATTATTTATTATTCCTTGAAAGATGGTTATATACTCTAAAGTTATAAAACCAGTTTCAAAAAAGTACATAAAAAATTTAACATAAGCTTTAAATACTTTTCACATGTTTGTAGTTTTTTTAGCTGTTAAAAAGTGCATTTAAACATACTGTACTGGAAAGTTGCTCTGACCAAAAGCGGTGCCGGAGACTTGTTAAATTAAAAGCTGCAAAAGAATGTCGCACGGGATTAGAAAGCTCACAAGTTGTGGTACTTAAACTTACAAACTTGCTCGAAATAATTTGTCAATTCTCACACTTACACTTTAGCGTACATGATATAATTAGCTAAAAATGTGGGTTTGGGTTGTTTGTGTTTTTTTTTTTAATAACTCAACAGTCAGACGAATTCAAGTTACATACACTGAGTGATCAAATAAGGAGCAGACTTAATATTCAGACATGGGACAGAATGTACTGGTGCGATTTTGGCATTAATCAATGTACTGGGCCATCCAGCGGAAGCCTTCTCCATAGCCTTGCCTCTTCAGCACGCTGCACATGAACACTTCCAGCGGCCTCGCGTTCAGCTCTTTCAGTGGTATACTGCCCTGCAGAGACACACAAATACGCCACGTGACAGCAACGGGACAAAAAAAAAAAACACCTCTGCTGCTTTACATGGACATTTGTTTCTGTGGGATGTCGTTATTTAACTTGTGCTGGATATCATAATTTTGAAAATAAATTAATCTAAAATACGTATGTGTTGAGAAATACGTGAAGCACATTCTCGCACGCGTTTGGAGAGGGTGAAGCACTCGAAACCAGAATGCGACTTCAGATTTCATTCCATATATGGTTATTGTGTACTAAGCACTTCATAAATTAAAAATCCACTTATTTCGCATAGCCAGAGTGAACTGGAATCAACACACAAATATAAGGCAAACAAACTCCCTAACGAGAAAAAAAAACCCCACACCACCAAACCAAACCAACCACCAAAGAAAACCCACACCTCAAGCAAAAAAATCCCCAAACACCTCTCAGATAAAAACACAAACAAGAAAGTAGGACCATTACCTTTCCTGTTGTCTGACCATACAGACCAAACATCTCTCGTAACCTCTCTTCACTGATTGCTTCAGGTCTGTCTATCTTGTTACCAAGAATTAGGATAGGCACATTAGCAATAGTTTCATCTGTCATTAGTGACTGCAAAGGAAAGGAGAAAAGAGGAGGGATTAATTTAGGTCACACCACTACTACTCATGCCCAGGTGGCAGCAGAGCTCCATGGGATACCGGGAATTTGAGCTCCTTTCTTAGAAGTTGAGGTTAACACTTAAATTACTTAAACTTACATCAAGTTCTTCTTTTGATTCAAGCAATCTTTCATGATCTGCACAGTCCACCAAGAACACAATGCCATTAATCGCAGGCAGGTAGTTTTTCCACACTCTGCGAGCTACAGGAAAGATGTGAATTTAAAGGAAAAAAAAAAAAAAAAGAAGGAAATTATCCCAAAAATTCAGAGCAACGCACATCAGTAAGTAAGAAGCAACAGGCTGCTTGGTTGTTTCTGGAGTTTTTTTTAAATGTCTTAACTTATGCTAACGGTCTTTGGGATGAAATTTCATGTTTTACAAAACTTGAAATAATGGAGCAAAAGCACCATTACCTGTACTGTTATCATCACTCTATCCCACGTGCACGCTGGAACGTTTTCTGTTTCCCCGGGAATGAACGTCAACAAAAATAAGTTTGAAACAGTAAGCTTAAAGGTGAATGTAAGTACTATTCCATACCTTGAATAGTACAGAATTCTCTTCAAAACACAGGTATGGGGCAAAAAATTCTGCTCTACTGCAGCTCTGGATGTGTCCTGGGTGGCTGCCCTAGGGGATCCTGCTCTGGCAGGAGGGTTGGACTAGATGGTCTCTAGAGGTCCCTTCCAACCCCAAACAGTCTGTGACTCTTGCCAAATTGCCTTTGGGCTTTGCGATAAGTGGTAGATACAGGCAAAAGAGCAGCTGATGCTTTTGACTGCCTGCGCTCTCTTCGACAGCAGAAAATCTCTGCAGCACGGTTGTATTTCTGATCCGCAACAAATGGATTGTAGACAGCTCCAACCCCAGGCAGCGAAGTTAAGGCAATGGATTCTCTTACCTTGAGCGTGTCCCCCCAGATCGAAGGTGGTGAAAGTCATGCCAGCAATTGTCAGCTCTTCCG